TATCTTGGCTTGTGTGCCAACTAAACACTTACATGGCCTAGATGGTGATGGTACTGCAACAGGTTGCTGGCATTAGTGTAGCATGGTAAGGAAGAAGAACACCATTGTCAGTGTCCACCTTGGCACTTCAGTTTAACCACCTTCACATAATAAGACTTATACAGCTACTGCTCACGTAATGACCTACCTGTTTATTTACTGTTCGGACTTACAACAAGAAGAAGAACTTACAGTATGCAAACCTAATTAATCAATTATTCGGACTTACAACCAGCTCTCTGACCGGCCAATATTAAAAACTGTACAAAAACTTGGGTATTTACAGTATGCAAACCTAAGTATTGCATCTACCTGGTACAGCCAGCGCGGATCGCCTCGGTATGCAATCCGGCTGGCTGGATCAGGCAGACGCGGCCCTGTAATCAAGCTCTGTAGAGGGCAGCCTCGTTCTGAGGACCCCCCGGGAGGACCGAGCAGCCGCCGATCACAGAGCTGCACGTGATGTGGTCCGGCCGGCCGGGTGCAGGTGAAAAACAGGTGGCAGAGGGAGAGAGCCACTGCAGCTGCGGCCACAGCAGACACCCCCCCTCCACAACCAGGGTCCATGGAGCCCCCCACTGACCACCAGGCCAAGGTAAGGTGACAACATTTTTTAAAACAAAATCCGGGAACATTTTATCCCTGGGAGCATAAAGCAAACTTTAAAAAAATATATATATTCACCTGATCCCTGCATCCACCAAAAGTGCGGCCTCCGGTCTCCCACGCTGTTAGAAGCGGCATATGGTGCGTGCTGGTTACTACTTAAACTGGCACGTGCTGTGTGCAGCTTCTGAGAAGCTTCTCAGAAGCAAGTTGCTGGAAGACTGCTCAGGTAAGCCTGCACTTCCCACCGCCCCCCACATGGTGCTCTATAATGTACTGATGGGATAGTGGGATTTGTAGTCCTCTGTAGCTTCAGCTTCACGTCTGAAGCTGACAGCTTTTTCTCCATTCAGAGCGGCTTCTAACAGGTTACACAGCAGGGAAAGCTACAGGTTAATTACAGGCGGCTCTGCATCTGGCTTTTGACAGCTAAATCAGATTACACAGCGGCGGGCTTCCCCACTGCTTGTGTAACCTAACATAGTGAGGCAAGAGCTGCAACAGCATCTACTCTGTGTTAGAGGCTTGAGCTCCGTGGATGGTTTGGACAAACAGTAAAACTCCATTGGTCCAAGCTGTCCAATAAAAAACAAAACAAAACACTAAGGACATCAATCTCAATGCCTCACCAGTGACAGGCAAGTGAGAGACAGAGACGCTCCTCCCTGTCTCCTTCCTAATCTCTCCCTCCCTCCTTCACACATAACTTGATGACCGGGTGTGGGGGGCTTCGGTGTGCTGGGGGCGGGGCGTGCTTGGGCAGGCAGGGGGGTGCGTCAACCAGCATGAAAGGTAGCGCACGTCACTACACTGTACCGTATATTAGAGCTGATTTCCTCCAATCCTCGCTTAGCAACTAGCCACCTAATATATATATATATATATATTTATACATACATACACACACATATACAGTTGTGTGCAAAAGAAAGTACACCCTCTTTGAATTCTATGATTTTGAGTATCACAACATCTGGCCCTTAACAGGTCTTAAAATTAGGAAAATACAACCTCAGATGAACAACAACACATGACTTATTACACTCTGTCATTATTTATTTTACAAATATAGGGCCAAAATGGAGAAGCCATGTGTGAAAATCTAAGTACACCGTATGATTCAATAGCTTGTAGAAACACCTTTAGGAGCAATAATTTGAAGTAATCGTTTTTTGTATGACTTTATTAGTCTCTCACATCGTTGAGGAGGAATGTTGGCCTACTCTTCTTTACAACATTGCTTCAGTTCATTGTGGTTTGCAGGCATTTGTTTATGCACTGCTCTCTTAAGGTCCTGCCACAGCATTTCAATCGGGATGAGGTCTGGACTTTGAATGAGCCATTGCAAAACAAGCCCAAAAAGTTGGTATTAGGTGTTCGTGCTGATATGATGTGTTTGGTTTTCACCAAATGTGGTGCTGTGCATTATGGCCAAACATCTCTACTTTGCTCTCATCTGTCCAAAGGACATTGTTCCAGAGGTTTTGTGGATTGTTCAAATGCAGCTTTGCAAAGCTACGCCATGCTGCCTTGTTCTTTTAAGGGCCAGTTCACACGCTCCATTGCGTTCCAGCACGGTTAGTGGCCGGAACGCACCACTGGATCCCATAATTAAAGCCTCCCTGTGTTCAAGTCAATGACACCACAGCCCTGCCTCCCGCCCCGCAGTACGATTGCCTGCACCAGAACACGTGGCACAGCAATGCCTGCGGTGTGGTGCGATTGCAAAAAATAGTGCATGCATTATTTTTTGTGATTGAACCGCACCAAGCACCACCACGCCCCCTCCTGCCCCAGAACGCATGAACTTTAACATTTAACATGCTGCGGCCTGTGGAGTCTAAGATGTAACTCTTGGGTTTTTTGCAATTTCTCTGAGAGGTGCACAGTCTGACCTTGAGGTTAATTTGCTGGGACATCCACTCCCAGTGTCTTGAAGGTTTTCCACATGTGAATAATCTTCCTCAATGATGGAATGATGGACTTGTTTGGAAATGACCTAACAACCCTTCCCAGATTGATGGGCAGCAACAAATCATTGCTGATGTCTTTTCTCCTAGGCCAGCGGCGGAACTACCGCCGGTGCGGCTTGAATGTGTTGGTCACACATTCCACTTAGTCACAATCTGTGATAGAACACTGGAAGAGCGTTGTGTGGGCGGAGACAGCCTGCACCCTGCACCGCTCACTCAGCCTCCTGTGACAGCGTGTCAGAGAGGACAGCAGTACAACACTCAGCGATCAGTGATCGCTGAGTGTTTGTACATAATTGAGGATAGGATATGGTTAATATATCCTCAATTATGCATGAATGGGAAGTGATCTACATCCCCTCCTGTCCATTCATAATTGTGGTTATAGTAAACATACTCTGTCCTTTCTCTGTAATAAATAAATATGCTCAAATATTTTTTCGATCTATTTTTTTCAAATTGATTTTTTTGTGGTTGCTTCAGGGGGTGTGGATTGGGGAGTTTGTGTTTTTTTTTGGGGGGGGGGCCAAAAATAAATCTTGCACCAGGGCCCTTTGTTCCTTAGCTCCGCCACTGTCCTAGGCATTGTGTTAACACACACCTAAATGCTACAGACCAGCAAAAGTGCTGAAACTTCAGCTTTTATAGAGGTTTGTTTTACATGCTGATGATCAATTAATCAAGAGCATTTGATTAGCAGCACCTGTCTGCCCCTTAATTCCTATGGAAGCAGTAAAGGTGGCCATAGACCTTACAACCATCGCATTAAAAAAACATACGATCTGCCAATCTTGGACAGGCAGATCGTACTTGCGATCATCACAAGCCCGCCCCCCTAAAGGGGCGCGCTTCCGATGACTGCAATGCTCAACGGGCAGTGTGCGCTTGCGCACACCGGCCCTGTCGACATTTGTCTTACGAGCATGCCACAAACCCGCTGACAATCGTACGATTTTCGGCTGGTTTTCGAACATGCTTGTAAGACAAAAGTCGTGCAACCTTACAGTAGTATAGGTCGCCTTCCATACACCTTGCGATTATCGTACGATCGTGGGATTTCCCGCGATAATCGCAAGGTGTATGGGTACCTTAAGGGTGGACTAACACCTATCGATTGTTGTTTGATTTCTTTCGTGCCCTCATCAAACCGTTGTTTGATTTCTGCTTGAATACCCCATCATGCACAGACCAATGTCGATTTCGATTATCGTTCGTTAGCAATATTAACTCAGCGAATTTCGTCGATCGAAAAATGGATTTTCATTTGCGCACGTGCAGTGTTCATGTTGCAATTTTTTTCGTATGCAAACACCTCTAATCCATCGATTTTCGTACGATTTGAAAAAAGTTTTCCAGCTTGAGCGATCGAGGTAATTCGGCCAGGAGTACAGTAATCGTGATCGTTCACTTCCCATCAACTGATCGGTTATCGTTAGCAGAACCATTCGTGGACGATTTCCGAACGATAATCGATAGGTGTATGGGCACCTTCAGTTTTTCACGCATAAGTTCGGGATTTTGGCTTTATGTTTGTAAAATAAATAAAGTTGTTCATCTGAGGTTGTATTTACCTAATTTTAAGATCTGCTAAGGACCAGATGATTGTTATTATGTCCTGATACTTAAAATCATAGAATTCAAAGAGGGTGTACTTTCTTTTTTATATGAATTTTTCAATGTATGCGAAAACTCAGTGGAGAGCATTTTTCCATCTTATTGTTCTAAAGCATAATTCCTTCAGTAAAAGCCCACAGTTGAATAAATGTGCCATTTTCTCTCCAGCAAAATGAATCAAAGAATCAACATCATCTTTTTTTTAAGATGAATGGACCTAAAATCTGATTGATTGATATTTTGTCAATTGAGCATATTTTAAGTCCATTTGTCTTATTAAAAAAAAGAAAACGCTAAACCATAGAAGAAAATTATTGAGCCTATTATCTTCAGAAGACTGAAAAGACATCAAATAAAAAAAAAATGTATTTACAGCTGTATGCCACTAGAGGGCAATGATTATACATATTTGTCTGTAAAATTCCATGGCAACTACAAATACACAGAATAAACATCTTAATCTTGTTCAGACACAAATTATAGCAGTGTATAAAAATACTATCGTGTTGCCGCTGTTATAATTGGCAGTGCTTTCATGTATATTTCAGGCTATTTTGTTTTAAGAAAAAAGGGATAATTAAAATAATATTCAATTAAATCTAAAACATTTTAAATGAATTAAAGCTGCTAATTGATTGTAATTAATTATTTGGTACTCAAAAGCACAATTTCAAGTCTTGTAAACAAAAAGGTTGTTGGCGTCTCTGGTTGTGACAACAAATAGCTTTGTGTCTGCAGTTACTGTTACCAGGCAGAGAAAGTATCCATCCACCGTGCATGCAGCAAGATCCGTGTCAGCGCTGAGTCTGAAAATGCCTGTTATTTTACCCCAGCTACCTGAGTCCATGTTTTCTACTTATGACCCCAGATATGTACCAGGGTAAGTGATCCTCTATATGTATAAATAGTTTTTACTTTCTGTTTCTTGTATACTGAAATTGGAAATCATAGTTATGGGGAAAAACGTGCCCTTTGAACTGCTATTCATTTGCTACTTAGGGGCTCAGTGTCCAATAATGCAAAACAGTATATCGGAAGAGTTTAATAAGTAAACCACTGCAAAGAGTAAATATATTGCCTAAAGGCCGGCAGCCTAAAACAACCAATTATAGTACACTGTAATATATAGAGATCAGTTAATCATACATTCTGAATGGTTGCCATTGGTTACTGTGCCTTGGACAAGCATATTTCTTGTAATGTAAGCTCCTAATCCTTAAAGAGATCCTGTCACCAATGGGTAAAGTGCTCAGATAAGCATATCAGAGACAATTCTTTGCCCCACAAAAAATTGACCCTGGGCCCAATTGTTTTTACAACATTGTTTTTGGTGCACATGATATGCGCATTTAACATGGGCCAAATCATAAACATAGTGTGCTTATGATGATTTGAAACATGTGCACCGAATAGTGGAATTATGACAGGAATGTGGCATTTCTGTGCTACAACATAGAGCAGATATTAGCTAGCACAGATCTGCACTGCGGGCTGAATCTCTCTGATAAGTGTCTGTACACCTACCCCTAGGAAACTCAACTAGGAAAAGCTGGGGGGAGGAATGAGGCAGACGAAAGGTTTCCCCAAGGATAGCGCTAGGTCTTATTTTCGGGGTAGGTCTTACTTTCGGGGAAACACGGTAGGTATCTAAATGAACACTAAACAGAGGGACCATGCAGCTCTGTGCTGCACTTTCCTATCACCCCGGCGATCACTTCCTAATCACAGAGGAGAGAGGAGAAGAAGCAATACAATGAGCTGCAACAGTTTGCTGTTTTGCTCCCTGCACAGTGTTGACATTTTTTTTAGATTGACTGCTAGACAGACCCCTTCTGTTTTATACAGCAATCATCGAGCCTCCCTGCCTAACAAGGCAATGAGTTAGGATGTCAGCCATGCATTGCATTGGTGTCAGCCATGGAGTGCACGGCATCAGCCATGGAGTACATTGTTTTCAGTGAGCCGGCTTACATATAGACTTACATAGTCTAAACAAATTAGTTTTGCTTTTATATGCTATAATAAAAATTCATATTAACATTTGTATATGCTTGCTCTTATTCTTGTTATTGTGTTAAATTGTGTTGAATATAAATGTGTAGATCAGCCAATAGAGGGAGCTCCCTGTGACTCAACACAATTACTCTGAGATTAGCCGGTTTAGAAGAGTTTGGAGAAGGCAGGAGAAGGGAACAATCTAGGCCAAAATAGCTGATTTCGAAACATTCTCCAATTCAGATCACTTTCCAGTTTAGCTATGTTGTCCTAGATTGTTCACTTCTCCTGTCTTCTCCAAATTCTTCACCCTTTTGGTGAATAACCCTGTAGATATTTGCAACACAAGGAGTACATTGTTTTTATTGAGTCAGCCAACTCAGATTTAAGGCATTTTAAGCATTCACTGATATCAATAAACTACTTACATAAAGTTAATCTTACTCAAGTGTACATAAAAAGGCAATAGTATAAAAATGTGAATAAATAGTAGAACAAATGTAAGTATATAGGGCAGTAGTTCAATCAAATGTCATCAATTAAATAGAATGGATATCATAAACAATCATAAAAGATTAAAGTTATGGTCAGAAGATTTTCTGTAGTTTAAACTTTGAGAGTACATCACCTCAGGTATAGTGTGGTCATGATGTAAGCTCACTAGGAAATTTCACATAGGCGGCTCTAATGGTCCCCATTCACAGCAATATGTCACAGAAATAATGTGCAGTAGGTCCAGATTCCCTACTGTAACAAAGGAGGTTTGGCAGCTTTCTCCAGCCTAAGGTGGTCCAGCAGTCATTGCACTGTGGATATCTATGTTTTGAGAATACAAGAAAACAAAGAAAGTATGGAACATACGTTGCATTATGGCAGACCATTTACTTTAAATGGAACCATAACAACCATGAATAATGGTATCTGCACTATAATTGCCCAGCGTAGTGCATTGTAGGGTCTCATTCAGAATAAATGGCATTGCACGTGTGCCGTGTTGTGGTACACTGGTAACATGTTCATAGTTGTGAATTTAGCTTAATACTAAATATAACACTAGCACTAGATTTGTAAAATTCTTATAATAATATTTACACAGTATTATACATATATTGGGACTGGAAAGAAGTAGCATGAGACTTCCAGAAGTGTAGGAGCAGGAAGTATAGACCATATGCTTACTGGGCGTCTGTTTCACCAGATGTTTTTGACCTAAGAACCTTATAAATAATATACTATGCTAAAAACAGAATTTATTATTGTCATGTTTTTTTTATATTACTGGTATGTTTTCTTAGTTACACAGGTTATACTTCAAAACTGCGAAGTGATAGAGGTAACATTTATGGCAATGCAACTCTGCAGTCTCAGGACTATGAACCAGGCCTCCAAAGATCTTCACAGATACCTGTGTCTGCGTGGAGAGAAAATTACAGATTGTCATCTGATTTACATCTCGGAGGAATAATTTCTAACGTACCAAGGGAAAATGCTGAAATATGGAATAATAAAAGTGGTACAATTGTTTTTATACTTAAATATTCAATATCTTAAAGGAGAACTATGGGGTCAGTGCTTTTCCCCATAGTTCTCCTAAGGGTCACGGGAGGACATAAACTAGCGTCCTCCCGTCACCCAAAGCTCAGTATACCGTGAGCTACAGCTCGCGGTATACTGAGACGCGGCAGCCGGGACGGATCCCGACATTACTGTCTGGATCCACCCAGCTGCATGATTGACAGCTGGCTCTGCCTATCTAGAGGCAGAGCAACTGTACCCGCCCCCTCCCCCGTCCGTTCCGCCAGTCAGCGCTAGAGGATCGGACAGGGGAGGGGGGAATCCCTGCAGGGAGCTGTGAGTGACCGTCACGGCTCTCTGCAGGGACAGGATCGAGAAGTGAGCGAGCGACAGTATGTGTTCGCTCACTTCCCGATCTATTGAGCCGACCTGTGACAGTTTCATTGTCACACGTCGGCTAGAACTATGAGGCTGAGTGATTTTCACTCACCTCATAGTTCTCCTTTAATGATCTAATTTTCTTTTATAGTAGGTCCATAGATCAATTTTCTTTTTTGAAATTCTTTATTTATACAAGCATGAGAGCACCGTACAGTACCAACAGAAAGTAAAACAAACAAAAATTGTTAGGCTTTGCGGTCAAGCATGTACAAACATATACATAAGTCAACATGTGCAAACATCGACACTTCAGGCCTGACCCCCCCACCCCACAGCCATTTCCACACCATGTAGCCATTATGGTCTGCACCGGTACTCTCAAGACATTTTCCGTTTTACTGGTGTAGGACTTAAGATAAAGTACTATGGATAATACCCCTCCATCTAGATCGGATAGTTCCACTTACACATACAAAGAGCACAAGAGACAGAAACAGCAAGAGTACATGTAACACAAAGACATGACAATTAGGGAAGGGGAAGGAACAATCCCCCAATTGCGGTTCCGCGGATGCCCAGCCTCCTGAAGGCCTCTCCACCTGTGTCTCATCCCTGGTTCTCACATGGGAAGTTCGGGGAGTCCCTAAACTGGTACCATGCCGCCCATGTAGCAACAAACTTCTGCTGGGTCTTTTTTATAGAAGACGTGAGGTCCTCCATCAGTTTGATCTCCTCCACTCTTCCCACCCACATCGCTATAGTGGGTTGGCATGATTGCCTCCACAGTGCTGGTATACACGCCCGCGCTGCATTCAGCAAATGAATCAGTAGGGAGCGTTTATATGATTTTCGCGATAGCGGTGCCAAGTGGAGGAGATACACCAACGGAGTAAACGGTAAAGACAGGCCTGTGATCTTCTGGGCTAGATTCGCAATCTGAGTCCAGAACGGAGCCACCCTAGGACATTCCCAAAATACAGGTAGCAGGGTTCCTACCTCCTCCTCACAACGCCAACATGTTTCCGACACCGACGGATATATAGCATGTAGCGTTTTTGGAACCCTGTACCATCTTGTCAGCAATTTGTAACCAGCTTCCTGGTATTTAGTGGACACCGAGGATTTGAGAGCAAAGTGTACCATCCGGTCCACCTGTTCAGCGTCCAATTCCACACCCAGATCTTCTGCCCATTGCCTGACAAAGTAAGGAGGAGGGAGGTCTGGGGGACTACGAAGACATTCGACCAGGTACGCCAGCGCGTGTCTCACTGGCTCTGCCTTCTCACATAGTTTCTCAAATTCTGTCCGTTGTCGTAAGGGAGGCTCTCCCGCATGTGACGTGCTCAGGTAGTGGCGTATCTGCATGGCGCTCCACATTCCGAGCGGCGGGTCCGTCAGGGCTCTAATCTGTGTCATGGATAGCCATTGGTCTGACTCTTGAAACTGATACAGTCTAGTCCGGAGTGATGCAGTCAGGGTCCTTGTCAGTGGAGTATGCAGGCCCGGGGGGAAATGTGGGTTCCCTCCATAGATCAATTTAAATGGTCCCTAACTGTCCCCTTTAATCTATACATGTAGAAGACAGGAAAGTTTGTTTATTTGTTGTTTTTTTAAGTAATCTATCAAATTAGGCTTTCAATGCCTCTATTGTGAACTTTGAAAATACATTTCTCCACAAAGCCTATAGATACAGAGGTAAATGAGAGCTTATTTTTAAACTGCTTCTACTGTTTGTTCAGCATATGTCTAGACACAGGTTCACTTTAACTAAATGGCCTTTATAAGTAATAGAACTGCACATCTTAAACTCATATTCTCTCTAATTTCTTGGTTTCCAATCTAGGATATTACCTTCCAGCTAGTGGGAAGTATCATATTATTCGAATGAACTATACGCTTGATGGTGACCCTAAGACTTCATCAGCAATAACTGCAATTGAGGAAATAAAATATGAACTGTCTAAACCAGCTAAATGGTTGTCTTCAAAAACAGAGAGATGTGCCTCATCACAAATTAGTCGGGAAACACCAAAACAGGCAGCAAGGTGTATCAGAAGAGCTGATCAGGTTTGTGATACAGGGTTCTGCTACATGTTATGTTACTTATAGTACACATTTGATGGTATGGTTGCAAAAAAGGTTCTGCCTACCAATGAAACATAGATGTTATTTCTCTTACATGCATGGCCAAAACTGCCAATGTAATCTACAATAAAATGGGCAAAGCAATAGGCTAAAAGGGAACAGCCACAAATTAGTTTATTTATGAATCTGAATATTTAGTGTTAAAACCTATCAGGTTTGTTTGCTGTCTTTGTTAGAGAGATCCCCTTCACTTCTTGTCTATTTGATAGGTGTAATTGTATTATTGTATTATTGTATTACTAGTATGGGTGTGATGGGTGTCAAACAGTTTCTATTCCTTCTCTGCTCTATCGAAAACTGAAACAAAAATTAAGAAACAGTCTTGGCTTTGATATTATTTATCATTACAACAAACATTACAGCCTATGAAATTAGATATGCGTGGCTTGATGCAGCCACAGCTATTACTTCTGTGTGTGCACACTGTGGTACCCTCCATGCAGCATGGCTTTTTACTTTCATTGTTTTTTTGCAGCCACCTTTGGCCTCTATTAACACCTGAACAATTTGTTACATGTTTGCAGAAGAGCGACAACACTGAAAATAAAGATTCTGCCTGTTGTGTCACTTGTTAAGCTATAAACAACATGAGCATTTTTGGGCAGAATTGCCCCATAGACTCCAAAGGGAGTACTTGAAAAACGCCTGAAAAAAGTGCATAAGGTGTTTTTATGCGCAGTTTGGTGCCTAACAGCTGTCTTCAATTAACTAGCGTCTTGCTGGTTAAAACAAAAGGGCTCAAACCTGAAAATGCGCAAACAATGTGTGTACAAATGCACATAAAAACATGTTCAAAGCTCACGCTCAAGTGTGCATGGGGTGTTAGTTACAGTACATTCGCTTGTACTTCATGCAGTATTGTTCCTACATGAAAAGTTCATACAGAATGGCTAACTCTTAGTTGATGTTGTAAGAGTGCCCTATAATCATATTCTTTAATATATCAGGCCTCATTTGTTCAGCTCTTAGTTCTTGAACTGTGACCAAGGCTGTAAGCAACAGCACTGATGTATTTCCCACTGTGGTAATGCATTACAAATTGGGGCTTGGACCTATGCCCCATAATCTTTAAGAGTCTTGTAACACTGTTCCATATGCATTGCAATGAGCAATCATGCATGTTGTGTGTGTTGATGATGCTTATTCTATAAGGTTTATGCCCATTCATTTCAAATAGCACCCGACGCAGATAGAGGACATGTGGCATACAAATACTCTAAGAACACAGCAACGCATGCAATAGAAAAACACATTCTGACTTGGGGTGTCCGGGAATAAAATAATTAACGTGTATTTTTTTGGGTCCGTGTACACATCTTGACACACCAAAAATGGAACAGTGTGCATGCCCATAGATGATAAAACACAAGACATTTGCATACCATTACTTTTAATTCAAAATTAAAACACAAGGAATTATGTCACAATTAATAACATAGGTGAAGCTACGCAGATCAATTCTTTAGCCCCAGTGGCAAATTGTGTATCCACAGCCAGCAGTATACTTCACTCTATCTAACTATAAAACTCTTCTTCACTTGGAGGAAAAGTTTTCACATGGCCTTTGCTGCTGGGATATTAGGGCTTTCCTTGCATCAAATGCCTGCTGACCAATTCTTTGAGAATGGACTGCAATGGTTTTCTAATCTAGGCAGTGGCAATTCCAAAAGTTGAATGGCTGGTTTTTAGAGCTTGTAGTCCTGCAGCAGTGGGAGCATCTGGAGAGGGATATTCTCTTTCTCTCTTTAAATAATAAAAACAAAAGGTTGTACCGCTACTTGTTAGAAAATTGAGTAACGCTTAGATAATGTATGTCTTTCTGTCTTGTACAGATAGCCGAGTCTTCATGCTCCCCTACATGCAGAAATGAAATGATGAAGAAGACCCTCAAAAATGATTTAACAGAAAAAGAACTCTCTTCAAGCATTCCTTTGAAAAATAATTTTCTCCAAAGACAAGGGAAAATCATTTACAGAACAAATAGTGGTCTTCTTCCCAATTACTCTGGCTATGCTCCCGGTACTGTATTATTATATTTAACTATAAGTAACATGTTTTAGTAATGTGTATGGGAAAATCTGCATAATTCACACTTTTAGTATTTCTTTATTTTAAAGTATTAAATCACAAAATTGTATTTCTGTTTTATAGAGAGTGAATACAATTGGTTTTTGCTATGAAGTTAGAACTGAAATAGATAAGAGAAAGCATGCTGTCTAGGTGGACACAAATATTAAGGCTGGCTTTTTCACAGAAGTAATCAACCAACAGAGAATTCTACCGTGTTTCCCGAAAATAAGACACTGTCTTATATTTTGTTGGGCTAAAAAAAACACACTAGGTTTTATTTTCGGGTAGGTCTTATTTTTTTTTTTTTAATGTACAACAATCCAAAGTTAATGCAAATCCAAATTAAATAATTAAAAATGGCAAAGTTAAGAATAGGGTGATCAGTGGTGCCGTACCTTTCCAAGAGCAATTTGGTAACCAGAATGGGCTCTTCAAGTTCCCCCTTATGCCACCACCGGCCCTGGGAATGGTCACAACTAGCTCTTATTTTCGGGGTAGGTCTTATTTTTGGTGGAAACAGGGTAACACATAGAAGATAGAGGGTTACACATGAGAAACATTTATTTTAATGCAGGTGTTCTACTCATCTCTGCCAGGCGAAGATGCATCCTACTACCTCTCTTATTCATGATTGACAGATGAGAGGAGAATATTCTGTCTTCCTATCCGCGTCTCCACCATTTTTGGCCACTGTCTATTTCTGCTGATTGCTATTTAAAGGATTATTAAACCCTCACGTTTTGTTTGCATATATCTACTGCTAGCAAGCAAGCAGTAGATATATGCAAAAACTTTAAAAAAAAACCTCTTGAAACAGGTTTAAACTTACCTGTGTCTTCGGCACGCAGGTCCCGTCCGAACATCTGAAGAGTCTCGGGCGGCCCCAAAGGATCTTGGGGCACGCGCATGCACAGTTCAGATGTTCGGCCGGGAGACGAGGAGAGACACATGGTAAGTATATGGAGCAGCGTGCACCCGCATGCAGACACCGTGGGACATCAGAGAAGAGTAGGACAGAGGAGTTAGCGCTGGATCGGAGACCCGCACCAGCACTGGAGGGACAGCAGAAAAGGACAGGAAAGAAGAAGATGATCGAATAAAGAGGCATCATTTAAGGTAAGTCCTGACACTAACACAGGGTGGGGGGAAAACAAAATAGCTTTTAATGTCACTTTAAAGAAGTACTCCAGGTAAAGGAAAAAACTCACCCTTGCAGTGGGGCTACCCCCCGTACTGCAAGCGTTAAGTGCACCTTTATCTAGGGGGCTCAAATAAAGCAGCCAATCCTCGATCCCGCAGTGTTCAACTCTCAACTCTCTGCCTCTCCACTACAGCTATTAAAATGTCCCTCAGTGTCCTCACTTCTAATGCAGGTCAATGGACCTGTATAAGACTTGATAACATAAGCGGTCCTTAGACCAGGGCCCAGGGCAGAAGAGGCTGTGAGGATCGGTCTAGCAACCTGGAGGGAGCCAGATGGACTAAAGATCAGGTAAGTAAGTCTGCTTTATTTGAGCACCCTAGACAAACAAGCAGTTAACCCCTGAAGTGCAGGGGCACCCCCAATGCAGAGGTAAGTTTTTTGTTTGCCTGGAATTCTTGAAAAAATTATGCCTTGGTGATGTAAAATGTGATGATGAACACAGACAGAGTTTGGACCATTGGAGGTAATTTACTAAAAGAGTAGAGGCTAGCCAATTAGCAAGTAAACAATGCTAGTAAATACAGTGATCTCTGAATACCTAATCATACCCAAGAGAAAAAGGATCCTGAATTTTTCAAAGAACATGATAGGTTTATTGAAGTAAACACAGCTTCAAGTTATTACTTAAGTGCTGTGAACATTCACTTTGTTAGGCGAACAGTCCATTCGTTTAGTAAATCAACCTCACTGAGTATATTATTACAGTGCATGTCAGGGCAGAATTAAAAAAAAACAACATATTCATGATATCTCTCCTCTTGTTAGCTGTATGTAATACCTTTTTTTTTTTCTTACAACAGGACAAATGTTTCTTATAGGGAACACATGGGGAAGGAGCAGTGTGAATGCCCTCGGAAAGCTCCAAGATCAGAAATTTCAGTGGACGTCTCTCTGTTGATGTTCCCAAAATGGTTTTGTCAACATCTACTCAGTGTTCTGTATAAAGCCTTGCAGAAACTATTTATGGTATTGCAGTGGATCATTTTTATTACATCTTATCATGCATTTTAAATCATGATTCCATCAGCAAGCATTTAAATAAAATATTCATTGTATTACAATTTGTAACACGAGAGGCCAAAATAGCTGATTTGGAAGAATTCTCCAATTCATATCACTTTCCAGTTCAGATATGTTGTTCTAGATTGTTCACTTCTCCTGCCTACATTTAAAGAAGATTTCTAAAGACTAGTAGAAAGTTTAACATCTATACACTGCTATCAGGTGGGATTGCATTTCTTGTAACCCCTAATAACCCCTAAGTTAGTCATTCTTAGAGTTGTTCAACTTTTCATAGTGAGACACATCCCCAACTTGGAAACTCATTGAAAATGTCGAGGCTGCGCACCCAGTCTGCACACTTTCTAAGTATAGGTGCAGAACCTCCTTAAAGGGGACCTGAGCTGTGGAATCTGTGCAAGCAGACAGCAAAGGACAGTATTGCCTCCCTTCACCTGATTTTTTCCCCAGGCCTAACTTACCATGTCTATGTATCTTTGAGGAGGCAGCCAACTTGGGAGAGACAGGACTTTACTTCCTCAAGTCTAAACTGTCCCCTGATGACTGAAAGAGGAACAAAGAAGCAGTAGAAGTTCACAACACACAGATCCACAGATTGAATTTGGATTCATGTACACAGCCTTGAAGAACGCTGCGTTTTATTAGTATGGTGGTGTTTTTTTTTAATGAATCGGAACATTGGTGTATTGTTTTCTATGGGTTCATGTTCACAGTGTGCAAAGATCAGTAGATGTACACTGTGTCTAAGGTCCTCCACATGACCTTAATTTTCACTGTACGCATGTAAACGTTTGTTCTACAGTGCAAATGCAATCTATTGGAGTCACCTGCATTGTAGCACCAAAGGACACTAGGAAAAGACTCCACGTAGTGGACTCCTTCATTGCTAGGATGCAGGCGACATAAACTGCATATTGTCCTTTGTTGCTCGGATGCAGGGGGTCCCTTGCCTCGTAGCATCCTTTATTGCTAGGATGCAGGTGGGCCAAGTCACCTGGTGTCTTAGCAGCTAAAACCGGTAGGAAGGAGTCTCCTGCTGCTTCCTAGTTAGAAAGAATGCTAGATGGCTTGAGCACTCATTGCTAGTGTCCTTTATTGCTAGGACGTGTTGTAACGTAGCCACTGCTCCAAGCTCACTCCCGCGATGGACTACAATCTCATGTTTAGTTTACTATTTTGTATTGAGATTGTAGTCCATAAACTGAGGGAGTTTGAAGCGGTGACTACTTTACAACACATACAGGAACCATGGAGAACAAAAGTAACCACCCTCCAGAAGGAAGGACAGTGTCAGCATGAATTCAGAGATGATTTGAGGATCTACAGCTGAGTGACACACAAATAAGAATACATTTTTGTTAATAGTTAAGGTACTTTAGTGTATTTTTAAGATTAAACTCCTGAGTTTAGTGTCACTTTAACCTGAAAAATGTTTTTTTTTTTTAAAATAGCAGTGTACTGCCTGGTATATGAGGGTGCCTGGGCACTCCAGTACATACAGCCTAATTTCTAGATTAGTCTCACTTTAAAGCACAATTCATATTTCCGGATCTTCCCTATAACATTGCAAATCTTCACTTTTTTAGTTCAGGTCCATTTTAATGGTTTTCATGTACAGTGTTGTGTAATATAACAGTCCATTTTTGACAACTAAACTAGAAGCTCTCAGTTTCACTTGTTGAACAGCTTAGGTGAAGTTTACTTAATAACCAAGGAATCTGCTCTTTATTTAGATGGTGTGGATTTAGAGTCATTTACTTCATTTCAATTAGTGTGTTTTGCATTTGTGATTTGTTTGTTTTTTGTGTGTATTTGAGCATTATTTTCACTGTTCTTTTCTTTCCATAAAAACATTAAAATAATGAGGCCAATAAGAGGAAATTTTTTTGGCACAAAAATAGGTCCAGGATATTTGAAGTTTCTGTAACCCTCAGGAGCCACTTAATGTCTATTGCACTCAGAAACACTAAAAAGCCTTCCTGAAGGAGAACTATGAGGTGAGTGCTTTTCAGCGGGAGCGGATCAAACTGGCCCCCAAACTCCCCCCCCCCCCCC